TATATATATATATCCATCTTTACACTGTTAGCTGCATTGGCAGCCATGTTGATTATTTTAGTGCTTAAAAATCGATGCCTTTTTATTTGATGTGATATCCCCCGGAACAAAAGTAATGTGCCGTTTCCGCAATTCCTTAATATCCGCAGCAGCATCGATGTAATTCGTTGATGGAAGACTTCTTGGAGTTGCATGATGACATTAGTTTAAATGACACGCAAATTCCGTTTTTTTTTTTCTTCTTTTTCACTGGTTTTCATTCACTTTTTAAACTTATTTTAGTTGATCTTTGGAAAAAAACAAAAAACAAAAAGTAAAAAAGAAAAAAAAGCACGAAACTATAAAAATATATGAGCAAATAAAATGATGCCAAAATAAGATCTGAAGTACTGTTTACAGAAAAAGCAATAAAATCAAATTTTTTTTCCTCAAGTAGTGGTGCATAAAATTTGTATGATTCAATGAACAACAAATATTACATAATCTGATGGTCATCGACTAAAGGCTTGATGATCAATTGTCAATGTAGTTAGTTTGATGATAGTTCAATGATCACTTGTCTCAATTTCACAACCAATACACACACACACACACACAATTAAACTAATGTTTAGCCTTAAAATTCACAAAAGTACACATTATTCGGGGTTAATAAGTTTAATTAAGTAAAAATAAATGGATTACAAATTGTGATCTATTAGCTTCAACATCAAAATTAGTTTAGATGCAAAAGAAAAAAAAAATCTGTATGTCAAATTAAAGATTACAAATGCACCAAAAAAAAATGACAACAATATTGTAATTTCTTAATTTTTACCGTGTTTTTTTTTTTCATAGGTAAAAAAAACACAAAACAGAATACTTTTATAACATATTTTTTACAACGCTATTTTTTCAGGTTTTTTTGTTCAGAAGTTTATCAACTACTAACCAGGCGACAACAGATTCTATCAAACATCAGAATCCTATTAATCGCCATTGATGGCAACACAAATTTGATTTTGCAACTGCTGTTGTTGTTGTTTTGCTTACCAATAACTGTTACCGTCAACGTTTGTGTGAAGCTTTGCGGACAGATATTTAACTGTATCAATCAATTCCAATCAGTTGTCAATGTAATGTGGAAACAAAATCATTTAGAATATATTATTGTTTTTTTCTTTCCTTCAATTTTAAATCATAACATCATATAAAATTTTTGAAGACAGCAAAAAAAAAACCAAAAAAAAAAAAAAGGGAGAAAAAAGGTAAAAATAAAATACTAATGATAATAATAAAGACAAAAATCAAAATAAAAATATAAGAGGCAAAACATAACCAATAAAAAGGAAGGAAAAAAAAAAAGGAAAATTTAAACCAAATAACAAATATGGTGTTAGGAGAAAATAATGATAATATTAATAAATTTATTTATAAAAATGACCGCATAAAATTGCATCGACTGTCGAGAGCCATAATGAGCAAAAAAAAAAGTCTAGAAAAAAAAAACTAATAGAACTTATATTTTTAGTTAACACAAATATAGAAGGCGAGTTATTAGTAAAATCAAAATAAAACGAACAGGCAAATAAAGAATAAACCAAACCAAAAAAAAAAAAAAAATAAAATAAAACGATTTCAATATATGCGTCCAGAAGAAACAAAACTCATTTTTTTCCATTCAAAAAGAAGAAGAAAATTGAACTAAATGTAAAAAAAAAAAAGAAAAGAATTTAAAAATTCAACTGAGGATACAGACAAAAAAAAAAAAAATAGAAAACATTGTAGTTAAAGCTGTTGGCTAACAGTGCCTCGAATTCTACTCAACAATATCACAATTCATTATATAACAACAAACAGAGAAAAATGATAAATGAAAATACAAAAAAAAATATATATTTATATTCATATATATATAATAGACGATGATAATTTTGATGAACAATTCAATGTGTGCTTATCTTAGCTCTCTGCACAACAGAAAATTTCAAAAAAAAAACCGTTTCATTTAGCTTTCTTTCTCTTACGATATTTTGATAACAAATTGCTAAATTTTCGAGTAAAATTCGGACTACTTTTTTTTTTTTTTTGGATCACATAAAAACAGATACACACACCCGGACACTCTTATAGACACAGACTTACACAGACACACACACACACACACACAGAAATACACATGGATACACACGGATACACACAAAAAAAAACCACATATTCTTCTTCCAGGATATCATCAAACTGAAACTGGAAAAAAGTAAAAACTGTATCTAAACATATACATTACCTCAACTAAGAAAAAGAGTATAAAATAATATGAAAAGAACAAAAAATAGAAAAACAATTTCCATCCTACTGATCCATAGCATTTCAGACGCTATGCACCCATAATATAAGTCATAATAATAATATATTAATAATCACCTAGAATTCTTTTGAGTAATATAGAAATTTTTGCACTAAACCTCTCTTTTTTCCCCTTTTTTCTTTCGACAGTAACATTTTTTAGCTTGATCAAATAATAACCACAGAGACTGGGAATACCAAATGTACACCGAAAAATATAGATGTTTACAGGTACAAAAGAAATATTCAACAATTATAAATTTTCTGTTGCAGGTATTTACCTGCAAAAAAAAAAAAAAAAAAAAAGAATGACGACTTTACATTTCCAGTATCATCACTTGCGAAACTGACGCATATAGATAGCTCAGGCTATGAAACTATAAATAGACAATATACTAAACTGATCACATAAAATCATTACGTTGATAATAAGATGGCCCGCTTACATGATAGTCTTCTTCATCAAAATCATCAAAGCTTGGCTGATTTGTTCGAACCATCGGAGTAAGCCTCTGTAAGTTACTCTTTGGTGGCGGTGCCGGTTTCTGACGAGTCGGCAGCGCCCCCTCTAACGGTTCGTCGTAGTGTGGTAATGAAGCCCTATTTCCGTAGGAAAATGGACCATTTGAATTTGCCTAAATTTTGGTAAATCAAAATGCTTCTCTTGTTCATCTAACCAGCAAGTCTGGTAATAATAAAAACACCAGAAGGAGTAGTAATAGTAACATTAAGATAGAAAAAAGTTTCAAAACACGACAATTAAAATGGGGCATCTTGTTCTTAAAAAGTGTTGAGAAGACCGAAGTATACTAGAAACAAAAGATTTCTGGAGCTTAATCTGAGGATTATAAATGCTAATACGGCTTTTGTTTATACAATAAAACTGTTAAATTTAAAAAAGCTCTAAATTGCTCGTTGGAAACATGTATTTCACTTAACTCACAGAAAAGCTTATTAAAGCTGCTTCCATTTGATGACCAACGCTCAGTTATAACACTATCAAAAAAAGGTAGAAATTACTTCCCTTATCGTTAGAAAACTTTGGCATAAGATGAACATTATTCCATTCGAACTGTTACACTTCTCCCCGCTAAACTTTAAGCCTAGAATTTTCCACCTCCTTCATGAACAAGTTGATATCAAACTGGGGCACTAACCGGTGGAGGATTAACAGTTGACACTCGAACAAGCGGGTTTCGTTGTTGATTTTCCATAGAATTAGCAAATCCTACTTGAGGGTTAGACCCTTGCAACTGTTCCATGCCTAAACAGCTTTTATATTCTGACAAGCCAGCAAATCAAATTTTTCCTACTTCAAGAACTAGAAAAGAAAAAAGAAAAAATTAGAGTGGTAGTCACTCCTGTTTTACCTTGCATCATTTGGGCAGGGGTAAATATTGTTGATGGTCCGAGGTTTTCCATAGGGTTTCTTTTTATTCTTGGCGGAGTTTTCACAGGAGGATGCGTTGCACGCCAGTAGGCTTCAAGATAATCGGAGAGATGCTCACAGGCGTCCTCCAACTGGTTCTCGTCAAGTATTACATCAAACATATCCTACAGACATTTTCAAAACTAACTCTCTTTATCGCAAAGACGTGATCTTATCGCAAGATAAGCGACCACTTCTTACAACAGACCAAAAAATGACTAGAAAGAATCAATAAGTCAGAAATTTACTAACTGGAGAGCACTGAGCTAATTTTTCAGCAGCTACCAACTGCATGTTCATACTGACACTCTGTTTTTTATTTCTGGATTTTATAAGCCTCTGCAGCACCTAAAATACTGCCAATATAATTCCAAAACTGAGAGATAAAATCTCTTAGATTACAAAAATTCATTACATCTTTTTGAAGCAATTAAGAAAGAAGGACTAAAAAGAGGAATTATTTTGAGACCTTCTTTTCCTAAACTAAACCAGTATAACTTGCCTTAGGTGAGGTTATTTTAATATATACAATAATTGGTGCAAGAGAAGTTTTAAGTATCTGTGACGGATGATTAATCGTAACGCAGTCGAGAACTAACAGTTGCATTGACCGAGATAGTTCATAAATCCTTTCTATCTCGAGTTGAACCTCAGCTAAATTATTACCATCAACCAGATGCGACCAATAAAAATTAAACATTCCAAGAAACACCATAAAGGTGAGAAGATTTACCAAGAGTATTGCTAGACCTCGAATTTGCTCTTTCCATTGCAGCCCGTTTTGGAGGACCAGTAGCTAGTGACCGTTTTGCCATTGATATATCTGGATACACTTTTGAAATAATAATTCTGTAACAAGATGCCATTACTGTTAACTTGAAGCCAGACGTAAGCAATAAATAGCTAAGAGGAATCCTAGAATAGCAATAACATCTTAATAAAACAGCAATGTAACAACGTGCCTCCCTTTAAACCTATTTTTGAGGTACTCAAAAACTGCTTTTTGCATCATATCGGTTACGTCTGACTGCTTCAGTGATGGACCTATAAGAATGACCGGCCTCATTGTTGGTACAACGTCGTATGGTGGCAGACTTTCCTGCTAAAATAAATTTAAATAATTCAAAGTTACAGTTTTTTTATGCAACAACACCTCCATAAAAACCTTC